TAAAATATATAATAGTAGCTGCTGCTGTTTGTGTTTAATACCAGCTCTTCATTTTAAATTATATAGATGATAATAAGATTTTAAATTTATTATATTTTTTAAATTGGACGAGGAGCTCAGAAGGTGCTGACGATGTGGCTCTAACTTCTTGTACAATATTACAGCGTGTCGTTAAATAATTTAATTTTGATTTTATTTCACGGACTACCGTCGCGTCAGCCGTGCCGATGGGCCCCTGGTACGGTAAAATCAACAACGTGCGGTATTCTTGCGGTATTCTTGAAGCTAAACAAATAAATAAATAAATACTAAAAAAAATAACACAATTTGAACATTTCAACATGACAAATAATAAGTACAAACGGTAACAGGAGCAGAATAACACAAAGATAAATAAGCTGAAGATTATAATTATATTATTATGTGGCATTCATTATAATGGTGTTTCTAGGCCTAACTATCCACTTAACCGCATCAGCTTCGTGTAATTTCTCTATTATTCCGCCTTAAAATGTTGTGCTTACACACGCTTCAATAATAATGTATAGGATTGTATTTCGTGAACAAAGAGGAGATTAACTGTATTGATAATGTTCAATAAAAAAAAACCTATATATTACACTTTTATTATCAACAAAATAGACTAATATTATGCCAAAAATGGACAGAGGAGACACAAAAACCAACTCTATAAAAACAGCGGTATAACGTTTGTGTACATTATTTTTTATTCGTAATTGAAACCTTTTTCTAAGTAACAACTTAAAATGTATAAAACACAAATGGGAAATGACTGTACAAATAGCAAAACATGAAAAGATGAGTCATAGCAAATGTACACATAATATTGTGTGCTTCGTTTACCTCGCTCGGTGTGGGCAAGTAATTTTATATTAAATGTTTGTAATATTAAGACATTCTAGTGTTTGGTACGGATTACACGAGCAGTACATTTTCAACCAAATTGTAAATCTTTAATCTAAACCATTAGAATGTACGACAAATTAATATTTTCAATTTTAATTGCGTTTGTCGTTGTAAGCCGCAAAGAATGGAACGGTGAAAGGGCCAACTCCGACACCAGCAATTTTACAATTTTTAAATAATTTTAATGATCTTTTACGTTATCAAAGTTATTTATTGGTATTGCCGTTACAGTAGAAAAATGATCAATGATTTGTGTTTGAATCACACCTGCTACAGTTAGATCTAGCACAAGTTAAAATTGCCCCACTGCCCTGGCCAATGTTGAGCTGGTGTCAAGTTTGCCATTACACTAGTTTTGTTTTTTACGTTTATAACGAAAAACACAATTAAAATTGAAATTATCCAATTGACGTACATTCTATCAATCGTTTCGGTTTAAGATTTACAATTCGGTTGGAAATGTACTACTCGTGTAGTCCGTACCAAAAACTAGAATGTCTGGATATATTAAAAACTAAAGAATAACTTACAAAATTGCTCGCCTGTGCATGCTAAATGCTTACATAAACATAATTGTTTGTCTTGTTACAAAAAAAAACATGGTAAAACGCATAAGTATGTATGCTACACGTACAAGTCAGCTACAGAAAAATAGGTATTTTAAAGTTTACATTACTATTTATTAAAAACGAGTATCACTCGTATGATATATTTGGCTGTGTATAATAACCATAAAAGTTTTACGGTTCACTTCTTAATAGAGCCACTAGAGCAACTATAAAATAATAATAGTGATAATTTTTTGATGTTGTCCTCAATCATAATTTGTACATAGTTAACATCTAAGCTTATTCTATTACATTGTCCTAATGTAAACATTTAATTATTACATGTATAATATTTAACCTTGTACATATTATGTATGTATATTCACTATGACTGATCTTTTCATGTTTTCAAACAGACATTAATCGGATTCTTTTAATTTTAGTTAAATCTTCTGTGTTTACACAAAAGCCAACGCAACAATACGTTTTATTACATTATATAAAATGTTTTTAAACAAATTTTGTACAGTTTTATTGTTATTTTTTTAGTTTTCCAAAGTGTTCTACACTTTTATACGCCTTCCTTCCGACTTAATTGTCAACAAGATGATTTTAACAAGATATCGCCAAAAAAAAAACAACTTGTTTTCCTCAAAATAAAAAAGAAGTAAAACTTAAGAAAACAATATCTCGTGCATTTTTACGTTTTGCTGTTTACCGGAAAAAGATGTGTTTTTAAGCGATTTTTGTTTTGTTGTTTGTGCAGGTACAAATGTTCAAATGTTTGAACCATTTTCTTGCATGACCGTAGAACCTTGATAATTATAGGTATGACTATTATTTACATTAGGATACAGCATTATTCTATATTAAATTGTCCCATTGTAAACATTTGTAATAATTATTATTACTTAATATTACGTTTAATTCGACATATTGGAAACCCAGTTTGGTCAAATGACCGGTCACGTATCCGATGTGATCGTCCATTTTGCTAACATAAAAGTTGTTGTGTTTTTTTGGGGGATTTTGGCTAAAAAAACATGATAAAACACATATTATAATACCTAAAAATTCTACGCAAGTTAGTTACATGAAAAAACAAATGTTTTAAAGTTTATAACACAATTTGTTTAGAAATAATAGCGTTGTAAGACGAATTTGGATGTGTACAATAAGTAAGTAAAAAAATACCACATGATGAACTTTTTAAAGTTTGGTTATTATCGAAACAAAATCTTTTTGGTAAATTGATATTATGTAAAAAGAAAACATAACGACTTTATTTGACGTAAAACTGTAATAATAGTATTTCTAAGCAACATTTTGAAAACCAACGTGAAATTGGAATTGTATCAAAAAATCCTCCTATTTTGGTTTTATAAAATAAAATGGAGAAACAAAATATATAGAATACTTTGGCTTATACTCGTATATCATAGTTGTTGTTTACCACCTACCGCTACTCAACTAACCAATCGATGGTTTACAACGTGAATCAATTCAAAATACAGTTTAACAAGTTTTTGTCTTTTATTGCATATCATTGGATTCAAAAACAATTATTTTTATTAATAATCACATAAAATGTAACATATTTATCACGGCATAGCTGACATTTTTTTATTAAAATATCTAATAATTGAGATCACCATTGTCATGTATAAAATAAAAATAGTATAAATTCATCAATCCTTCTGTAACACCGAGAGCGTTGTAAAGTAATACTATTGCTGATCATCAATGATGTTGTATGAATGGTTTGTTGGATAAAAGTCTATGTTTGATAGCCACTATGGATGTGTTAAGGTACTTTGGCGAGTGTAAGCGTCACAATGAAAACCCAGTTGAACCAAATTATTGGTAACGTGTCGGATTATTTCATCCATTTTACTTACATAAAAGTCGTAGGGTTTTTTCGTGAGGTTATGACTTTCACGCTCATTGATCAATTCGTTTATATCAAACGGTTTGTAGTGTGGTCGACACTCGGAGATCAAATATCTCTGCAAATATCTCTGCAAGGAAACGATAACTTTTACTAATACCTCGATGTAATTTTGACCGTCTTCTTCTAAAACGGCAGACAATTCCACTAAACGTTTGTTTGCTACGTTTGCAAGGAGCAACGCAATTAAAATCGAAATTGTCCAATTGTCGTACATTGTAAATGGTTTTGGTTTAAGATTTACAATTGTATTGAAAATGTACTATTCGTGTAACAAAAAACTGCAACGTCTGGACGTATAAATTTAATGCAAAACTCACAAAAACCGTTTGCCTACAAAACATAATATGTTAAAAGTCATAAACATTTTTACAATTGTACCTTTATAATAATTCCATGGCAATTGATTTGGGTAACAACTACAACAGATTCCTAATGCTCGGCGCAAAACACTACGCCAGTAAAGTGTGTGCTATTTTATTATATACATTTTTTTTGTTTCATTGGAAATATTTACAATCTGTATAATATGTACAATAAGTAACATGGCTAATTTTTAATATTAAATGCGTACAATTACTTGTATTGTTCTTAAATTAGTTTATACAAAATATCATCTACCTACAAAATTATTTTTAAAAAATGTGTTTATGAAATTTCCAATGTATAAAATCATTATTTGCAAATTTTACTTTTTATAGTGTGTGCAATTATTTAAGAGAATTGAAAGCGGTCGGTTTGTTGACGTTTTGGACGAAAAAGCCATTAGATTTAAATCCATATCTCGATATCGATTTATTAACTTTAAAAAACGTTTAATAGTTTAGTTTGTTAATTTGTTTTTATTTCGAGTGTACTGCTATTAGTTTTTTTGGGTAGTGGCCATTTTATAAATACATTTTTTTTATCACAATAATTCTTAGATTAAGGCACATTTTATTTTTATCAGTATTTAATAACGCGGTATTTTATATATTTTACAGGTAAAAACGTTTGTGATGCCGATGGCTATGTAATGTTGTACTTTATTTCTTACTTCTCATCCTCTAGAAGGGGTAGAATAACTTTTTCGTTATTTCTCATTTTCGTCCAAGTCTTATGGTCTGGAAATTACACTGAACGTAGATCTAGAGTTGGGCTATAAAATCGTTTTGATAAAAAAGTCATAATACGATAAACAAATTTCCGTGTTGTATTTGCTGGTTGAAATAAAAAACATCATTAAATAATGTCATTATAGGCAAAAAAAGATGTTATATTTTCTTAATACAAAATATAAATCCAAGAAAACGGGTTTTCGATTGTGACCAAACTTCAAAAAGTTTATTCTATGCCAACTTGAAGATAGTATATTCGTTTTACCGTTTCGTCATAACTCATAATATAACGAAACAAGATAAAAGATTATTATGTTTATGTAAACATTTACCATATGCTGTACACATGCAAACAATTTTGTGTGCATTATGCGTTACAAAAATATACTCAGACAGTCCATTTTTTGTCTTTTGGTACAGGTTGCACAAGTAGTGCATGTTGGACGGCATTTCTGAACGTTTAAATTCAAACGGTTTCGAATGTGCAACTGTTTAGTAATTGCAATTTTAACCGTGTTTGTCGTTACAAACCAACAAAAAGGAACTACAGTAGGAGCGCCACCGGTTTCTTTGTCAGCACCTCAATGGGACCTGCTGTTCGGTGTGTACAAAGTACAAAACTGGAGGGATTCGTGGTTTACCGCAATCGCAGACGCAGACGGTTGGATGGGTGTGCACGAACGTTTGCTTAGTCTGAGGGCTAGACCTGGGTCGCTGAAGAAGCTGCTCCTGATTCCCCGGATGATGGGATGCGATTGCGGAGCAAAGCTGTATTGGTTTCTCTCGTTGGCCGTCTACGTGGTCAAAGAGTGTGAGAGATTTTCACAAGACAACGACGGCAGCCGAGTGGTCGCTGGTCTGGCAAGGGATTGTTGGAACAGACTAGGAGACGGTGTCCGAAGAGGTTCGAACACCGTGTCGGAGGTGATGGGCTCGTTGGGATACACTCATTACACTGTGGGCGACAACGTTGGTTCGGATGAATTTTACAAAAACGTCTCGAGGATCCGAGGTTTCCTTTCCACCGTCTTAACATCACAAGACATTACGAATTTTTGCGTCAAGCGGACGGACGAACTCACCGATTGCTTGCAGGACTTTTTACATTTTAACTGTGCACCAGAGTACCCGCCGTTTGATATCGAACAATTAATGACCGAGCACGAAACAGCGTACAGACACATTTGCAGTTACTTGTTTTATTTAAACAAAATGGATTCTTACGTCAGATACGTGAGCACACGGTTGATCCAACTGGGTTTCCTTTATGACGCGGCAACGGGTCAAACTACCTTTAAGAAGTATTTTATAATATCATAATACTGTTGATATTAGAGCAAAAGAACGTTGCCGCCATAGTCACCGTGTTAAAGACGGATTGATAAATTTATAATATTTGTATTTCTATACATAAAAACAGTGACAAATTTTAAATGTGTTACGACTTATAACATTACTTATGTGTAAATATATGAACTGTGTTTTGAAATTATTCGCATTATAAGTCATCGATTGGTAAGTCGAGTAGTATAGCGATGAGTGGTAAATTGTTAAAACGTTATATCCTTATCCTTGTACTCAACCAAACAAACTCAATTAATGAATGTGTGTAATGAGTTCTCTGTCTCTGTTATTGTTAGCTCGGGATTACTCTAAAAGGGTTCTTTTATCGCCTGTTTTTTTAGCTTCGATGCAAAGCGAGAAGGTATTGGTTTTACTCTGATGTATGTTTTTTTTTTATCTGTATACACTGTAACTTCTTTAATACTGGACCAATTCCTTCGAATAGCAACTCTATAAATCGCAATTTTCATCTAGCTGGCACTTTGGGGGGGGGGGGGGTAAAAGTTGAAAAAGTTTAACTCTTCACAGGCGAAAGTTGAAAAAACAAAAAAAAAACCGTACGAGTTTTTAAGTTAGAACTTTTACTGGCTATAGCTTCGAGAAAAAGAGTCGGATCGAGTTGAAATTTATAAGAAATATTTATTTAGTATGCCCGCGCACGTCAGTTATATCAAATTTGAATTTAACCCAATGCCCACCCCCCTAGGGGGGGTACAGGTTTTTTTGTTTTTCGGGGTTTTTAGCCGTAATTTTAAGACCTTTGGGTTGAAAATTTGCCAGTAGTTGGAACTCATATGTATCCATAACATATTAAACGGAAAAATAATTCGGCACTACAGTTTTTTTTTAATAGCCGGAAAACTGTGTTTTCGCAGATTGCGTATATTTTAACAAAAAACACTTAAAATCTTAAAAAAATTGTTATCAAATCATTAAAACAATTTTATGTAGATCTATGCAGAATGATACTATTGAGTTTTGTGCTCAAGTAACACTTTTGACTTTAAGTTGACACAAAGTTCAATTTTTTTTTTTTTACTTAAGTTCTTTCTGGCTGATTAAAATTGAGAACTGATAACAAATTCGTAATCACCGACCCCAAAAACATATAATTTGACCCCTTTTAATGCCTTTTTCACAAAAATCCAGAAAAATGTTTTAGCTTCGATGCAAAGCGAGAAGGTATTGGTTTTACATGAAATTGTTAACTGCAGATGGGTGGAAGACTTATCTGATCAACTTGACTGCTTAAACAACACTGGTGATACAAGAAATGTTCGACAATGCTTAGAACAGAGGTTATTACATATAAGATTTCTTACAATTTTAAATAAATTGATTTTCTTTTGATGCTAAATTGCAAATGTTTTTATTTATAATATAACTTTTTACATAAAACATATTATTTTAGCTGTGAAACACACAATGAACCATTAACTGTTTTCTGTGCTACTTGCAATCTATCTATTTGTCATCGATGTGCACTATTTGATAATTCGTCTCATATTAGTCATTCATTTCGGCCAATCGAGGAAATTTATAATGAAACCCTGACAAAACTCGAAGATGAGTGTGATAATCTGAAAGGCAAAGAAGAACTGATTAAAAAGGATATTAAAGAAATTGTGAGTTCAAATTGTTTTATTATTATCATCAATCAAAATTGATTTTTATAATTAATAAAAAGATTAATCAAAAAATTCTGATAGTGTTTATATTAACTGAATTTTTATGCCATATGAGGTACGGTCCAAAAAAACTCTTAAAGTTGTGAGCTAAATTATATATTATGATATGACATTTAATTGAAAACAGCACATTTTGTGATTAAGTATGTATTTAGTTTGTATTCAAAACATTAATACAAGCACCTTAGGTTGTTAAATTGAAAAAATCAATTTTCAAAAAATGAAGTTAGTATACTTAATTTGAAAATCATTTTATTTCATTTATTTTTTTTATGTTTTAATTTTTCTGTGTTTTAATGTCTTTAACACTACTCCATTACACTAAAATTATCTTTTTTTTAGGCTATATTAATTAAGTAATATTGTTTATACCAATGCTTACATTTTTTAGGATAAAAATATTAAAGATGTACAGCAAGCCAAAGATCAAAAAGTGCGTGAAATTCGCACGGCAATTGAATGTATGATGATGGATTTAGAAAAAGATCTTGATACCAAACTTACAACTTTATTACGCCAAAAAGGTCATCTAGTCCACGAAGCTGAACAAATTGAAGAGTTTTTACATGACTGTGATTTGGAAGTCTCTCAAATGACAATGTCTCAGCTAATTAGTAATGCTCCTAGGTTTATGAGAACTGTTACTATTATGCAGCAAAAGCAAGCTCCATTATTAATTCCTGTGTATCCCGAGTTCCATAGGTAATTTTTTTTTAATAAATTATAATAGTATAATAATTTATAGAACAGAAATAAAATAATGAGACATGTTATGTATGTTTATTCCTTTTAGTGCCGTGACCCCTAAATTTGAAGGAGGTACTTTGACTATAAAATCATTTTCTGAAAAAATAACTCAATCTGAACCTATCTATTCATTGCCTATTGGATGTAACGGTGTCAGTTGGAGACTCAAAGTATATCCTAATGGGAACGGTATTGTAAGAGATAGATATTTATCTGTATTTTTGGAATTAACTTCAGGTCCACCTGGTGTTTCTAGGTAAGTTAATTAACTCAATTTCCCCATAAAACATAAAATTACATGAATAATAAAATTCATAAAATAAACTATATTGAACTTACAAAAAATTACAAAAGATTTGTACTATACAGGTTAAAAAAAAAACATACATACAGTTTTGTTTTATTTGTTTAACTTTTGCAAAACTTTTTTTACTAACTTATTTTAGCTGCACTATATTATGAAATTATTTCTTTGAGTTTTAATGAATCAATATTTTGTTTTAGGTATGAATATCGTATTGAAATGATAAATCAATTGAATATAAATGATCCCTCCAAAAATGTACTTAGAGAGTTTACTTCAAATTTTGAGATTGGTGAATGTTGGGGATACAACAGATTTTTTAGACTAGATTTATTGGAAAATGAAGGATTCCTACAGCGAAACTCTTTAATTTTAAAGTAAGCCTTTAACAATTAACCTTCCGCACTATTGTAAATAATACAACAGTTTAAATAATTAACAAAATAATAACTTAATTAAGGTTTGTTCAATAACAGGATAATTAATAAAGTTTGTTAGTTACCTAAGGTTTATAACATAAGATGAACCATTAGCTGATTCAGTAAATGTACCATTAATGTAAATGTTTTAATATTTTATAGATGAACGATAATCAATACATTAGAACTGTTGTAAATTTTACTATGTGCAACTACTTTTTTTTATAGCAAATAGCTGAAAAGTTTAACATGTTTTTCTTACTAATACTTAAATTGTATAATATTTCACTTAGGTTTAGTGTAAGGCCACCAACATATTATCAAAAATGCATTGAACAACAATGGTATTTATCAAAATTGGAACTTGAAAACTCTTTATTAGTACAAAAATGTGATGAACTGAAACAGGTTATTTTTTTACATTGCACAATAGTTCAATTATTATTACTAAACTTTAAAAACAATTTTTTTAAAGTATTTATACATACGTCATAGTGATTCCTCAATATAACTGGATTGTCTAATTTTTCAGGGTTATAAATTAATGTGTATTTTTTTTTTTACGACGAAGACAATACACGAACCTAATAAACTGTTATTTTTATTTATAATTTATGTAAATTATATATAAAAATATATAATTTATAATAAATTATATAGTATACAATTCTAGAAAAATTATAGATATTAAGTTTTATTCCTTTGCATTGAAAATGTTAATCAATGCTTTTGTCAACTTTTTTTTCAGAAAGTACCAGCTAAAGTGAAACCTGTAATTAAAGAGGTTTCAAGTCCTAAAAAGAAACTTAAAATTAAAATTCAATCATTACTTGATGAGTTTGAAAGTGTTGAAGCGACTGGGTAATTATTTTGTACTTTTATATAATATAATTTAAAGGTGACAACATAAGCAGTATATTTTAATAATACAGAAGTATCGATAAAAATCCAAATGAAGATCATGGAAGTCAAGGAGGGTCTTGTGGTATTGAAATTGCCTCTAACTCAGTATTACCTCCCTTTTCGTTACAAAATTTGTATGACAGTGAACTTCCCATTCGTTTCCAAGGTGAAACAGCGCAATCAATGTTCGAAAGACTCAGTAGACTTTTTCAAGAAAATGAAATTGTATGTTCCTATATATTGTATGTACCTATATAACTTATAATATTAATAATATAATGAACTTTTATTTAGATTCCAGAAAGACCAATTAATGTCGGTAGTATCAATAATTCATTGTTGAATAACGTAGAACAGCCTAGTCAACCTGGTTAGTAAACTCGTTAAAAGTAAAGTATTTTAGATATATATATATATTAATAATTTTGGATATGAGTATTAATATAGTTATTTTAATGAGTGTTCAAATGATATTAATTTTTATTTTTAAGGTAATACATTATTGAGAGCAGTGGCGGCTCGTGGCTATGTGCGGCCGCACCCCTTACAGAAATAACGAAATAGTATAAATAATATATTTGATTTGATATTTTATGTTAAGGAATACTTTCTTATTATTTTTCGTAGTATCTATTAATATAATGTCATATTATTGACAGCGGCGGCCGTATAAGCTATGTTATGACTAGCGCGATAATTTTTGTCCCACAATTTGGGCGAAAGCCTATAAATACTTTTGGCGGCTGTTATAACGTGGTGTGTGCTACATTGTAAACCTAAAACCACGCATATAAAAATATGTTTTCGTATTATATATAAATATAATATCAGATTATCAACGGCGGCGGCTGTATAAACTATAATGTGCGATGATTTTGTTGCACAATTCGGGCGATAGCCTTTAATGAATTCAATGGCGTTTTTCGTGGTTTGATCACCCTATGTTCAAGTTTAGACCCAAGTTTACGGGAACATTTTCAGAAGTCAATTGCTTTTAGAGGTACTTCTAAAACCATACAAAATTAATTACTGGATTGTATTTTAAATATTATAAAAAATCATATTTTAATTGAAATAAATAATTTGGAGTGTGTATCCATAATTGTAGACGAAACTGCCGATATCTTTAACAAATTTCAATTAGCGTTAATATTTCGTTATGAAATTAATGGTAAGGTTACAAATAAAAGAAAATTTTTGTAATGTTACTATTATCTTATATATATTTCATATTTTGTTTTTATTTCATACTTATATGTATTTTCCTGAAATAAATAGATTACTTATCATTTTGGGTTATGATTTTCTAATTTTTTATCACACTCCTGTGTCAAATCACCACGAGCCGCCACTGATTGAGAGAAATAAACAACTATATATTATAAAATAGAGGTTAACCTTCCGATAGACAACCCTATTGAACTAAAGGAAAAGCATGCAAAACTCATGTGTAATTATTACATACAAGGTTTTTCCTTATACATATAAGGTTTTTTCGCCTTTGGGTTAAAAAAAAAAAATAATAACACTTGAAAAAAATGCTTTTTACTAATGATAAATCATTTTTGTAAATTCTATTTAAATCAGCCATATTAAGAAAATTAAATTTTTTTTTAAATCAGTTTATATATTATTTGTGATTTTAGATTTTAATTTGGATAATCGTTTGCGTGTTTATGGGGTTAACCATTTTAACTCGCCGAAAAGATTAAGTGAGTTACGAATAAAATATAATATTATTATGTTAATTAGTTAATACATTAAATTATCTTTGATAAATGTGGTATATTAGTTATTTGACTGCTATAATATTTTTAGGAGTAGCTGAAAATGCACAAATGGTTAATAAAATTCAGTCTGAAATAACGGAAGCTAGGTAAATATTTATATATTTATTATTTTTATTATTAATAAAAATTGTATGTGCTATTTACATTTCTTCTTGGAATTCCTCTCCTAACGGAGGTTGGAAATCATCATATTAATCTGGATTGACCCTTGGGCCGCTTTGAATACTTGGTTGTTGCTGTAATCAAACCATTGCCTCAGATTGTGCATCCATGATGATTTTTACTAGGAATAATTAATAATGTGGTGGGTCTTCCGTCTCCTTCCACATGCAGCTGCTACCCTGCATCAGGTTCTTTTTGTCGCCTCTTACGACAGGAGGAACATTCCGTGGTCCTATTCTTGCCCGGGAACCATTTACATTTATATTTTAATTAATATTTGCAGTTATAGTGTAATATTCAAATGTAATATAATGTATACATGTTATTTAATTTTATTAGGTTTCGCTTAACAAAATTGGAAAATGCTATGCTTAACAGTCAAACAAGTAATATACAATATTATTATTAAAATTAAAAGAAGTACAATAACATTTTCGTAATTTGTAAAACTACAATAATTAAATAGTTGCAGAATCTTTTTCTGAACCGACTTCTTCTATTCCGAACAATTTGACATTAGCAACAAATTCAGTGGAATTACTACAATCAAATTTGGAACATGATTTGATGCATGAATTACATGGTGCTACTAATTCCGTATGTGTAAATATAATATATCTCTCTTTATAATTATTAATCCATAGATAGGCTTGCATTCAACGCTAGTATCCTGGGGAAGGATATTTATGGTGTGAAGACTTATGACTGAGTTTCATACCATGCACAGCTAGTACTTAGTTACAAAGCGCCATATATATATATTATGAACTTTTTGCATAACTTTATTATGTATTTTTTTAATATAATCTAGTAGTAAATTGTGCTTTCTTGACGGAATGAGGGGGAGAAAGTATGTTACCGGTAGAGATGGGCGTATTTGTATTCATGAATACGAATATTATTCACAGGACCCTCATCTGTGAAGACAAGTACGAAAATATTCGTATTCAAAGTAAAAAAATAAAAATACACTATTATTTGCAGCCAAAAAAAGTGATTACAAATGTATTTGTATTATTTGGCTGTGAATACAAATGTATTCCTACTTTTAGGCTGTGAAAGCGAATATAATCGTATTTGTATGTGCTCATACCCGCTAGTATGAATATATTTGGAAATGTGAATACAAATGAAGGGCTGTGGGGAAAAAAGATCAATGTCAATTTTTTTTTAAAAATGAGATTTTGGTATCAAATTGTTTGTATTGACGTATTGTATCTTTTATGTGCTCGAACCAGGGGAAAAAACAGATTCGTCGAGAGTAACGACCGCCGGAAGTTTAGGCATACAGGCGAAATGTATTACGTTTTGAAATTAAAAACATGATTTTCTCAGAATGAACAAAAATTGACATTGATCTTTTTTCCCCGCAGCCCTTCAAATGTATTTGTATTTGAATTCGCAGATGAGGGTCCTGTGAATAATATTCGTGCCCATCTCTGGTTACAGGTAACTAACTCACGATCCATTCTGAATATTGAATCTTCAATAAACCTCTATCTTGAAGGAGACAGTCTTTTTCTTGTCAAGTCCGAATATAAAATGCCAATTATCAATAGTCCTAATAACATAAAAATATTAAAAAAACCTTGGTAAATACTTAAATAATAAAATACATAAATAAATTAGGTAACAAATTTGGTAAATCTAAAAATCAAAATCACATATGGTAACGTCCGAACATAGGGTGTTTTTCGTCCTTTGTCAGTTTGATTTCTCGATGTCTTTGGTTACACGTCTTATAATTTCGGGTAATATTCAATGATCTTACGACTTACTTGGAAACTTAATTATGTTAATTACAGAATACATTATCCATGGAAAATGGTGAAACTGAAGAACAAGGTACATCAGAAGACAGGTATTTTAATTTATGCCTTTTTCTTTAATTTTTTTTTTTTTTTTTTTTGCAACAGTAAGTTAATTTTATAACAAACAAATTCTTTTATTTTAGTTTTTTGAAAAACTTGACAAAAGGATTAGATGAAATGCTTTGTTTAGAAGATGTCTATAAAGGTAATCACCAAGCATACACTACTTTTATTATATTAGACTATTTGAAGTGATTAAAATCAATCAAGTATAAGTTATTTTTAAACAAATTTGAACAGGAGAGTAAAATTTAAATTGTATTTTGCAAGTGTTCTTGCGAGTGATGTTCATTTCTCTTTCAAAAATTGTAAAACAAATACAGATATAAATAGAATTCATTGACAAATATTGTATAATCAAAAACTTGTTTTTGAAAAAAAAAATGTCACCTGTACCCACTTTTTAGTTCTCATCACTTCATTTACTATCGAGCTATGTAAACTTAGCTAATGAATAACTCATTAGTTGATTTAAGTGAAATTATCATTATGATATAGTTCTAAGTATACTAAAGATTTTCATTACGTACTTTTAAAACTTAAGGAGAAACATTTTGTTTGATTTGAAGAATGTTAATGTTATGATATTAATTCAAAATTAATTTTTTCATTATTATTTATAGATAATTGGGATATTGCAGAAAGTTCATCGAGCGAGAGTGAATCGAGCCCGAGCGACGAACCAGTAGGCCCTGGTCATTTGAGTCAAAATTAATAATTTATTCAATATAACTATTTTTAATTTTAACATTTATTATCTATAAATGATACAACAGTCCCATACCATTATAGTCACAAATTATTTATTATCGATAAATTGCTTTAAATATTTAAATTCATTTATAAATTAAATTAATTAAAAATAACATTATAATTTTAAAAAAAAGTCCATATTGTAGTATAAGATTTAAAGATCTCAAATATTCAGAAACATAAAAATGTACAAAGTAAAATAGTTAATTTTGTTGTGGAACTATGTATTAAAACACAATTTAATGATTCATTTGTAATAAATATATAAATACAACATGTAAGTTCTAAAGCTAATTAAGAAAATCTTAATAAAAAGTGCAGACTAAATATTGGTTCTACCATCTCAAGCAGTGTCTAAATATCTCATAGAACCCAATTTAGTATAGTATTCCAATATGGAGTAGATAAAGAAAATGTGAGGTGTTTTATAATAATATGTACATGTTTAAAACACATAAATGAACTTGTCTTTATATAAACTGTTCCTATTTATTATTTACTTAGCTATTTTTACATGTAAAGCATTAGAAGGGACCGGTGCAATAACCAGCTAACTCAATTTTTAGTAATTATTCATGACGATCATAAGGAAATTCTTAATTTCATTTACTACTATTGGCAGAGGAAAAATGCGTTTTGTAAATAATGGTCCGATTTTACTGTTTTTACACCAAAATGTAGATAATTTATCTATAATATAGCATAAACTTAATGTTAAACTGTGTTCATATTTTTTTTTAATAGAATTTATAAGATTTGGTGTAATAGATAATGTACTAATATTTTGTATATTTCTAAATTATGGTTGACAATCACTGAAACAATTGTAATGTTAAAATAGCCTTCATTATAATAAATTATTTAAAACTTGATTTTTAAGTTGGTACTATTTATAGTTTACGTATTAAGGTACTATATCAGCTGTTTATAAAACTGCTGTACATTAATAGTGATGGGCATAGTCAAATGATTAGTAATTGAGAGAATCTCTCGAAAAATTACTCGAAACTAAAAATGGTCTATTATTAAAATAATAGACTATTCTTACTGATTTTGAGTATGTTCGATTACATTAATTCCATTTGTAAGTTATAACCAAATTGCCGACCTCATGTAGTTGGGAGTGTAAGGCGAAGATAAAGAAGTTATAACCAAATCAAATAGGTATAAGTAAAGAAATATGCACCTACTTATAGTAAATGAATAATTTAATGTCTTTTTTTATTTGTCGGTATAATACCTATTATTAATTGAATCGTAGTTTAGAAGTAATAATACTTAATTATTAGTGGGTGTCTTAAATAAAATGACAAAGATGTTTAATTTTTTTAATCGTTCAATAATTTTTATTATCTTCAATTTAATTATGTACCGTAATCCATGTTAACTGACATTTTTTCGAAAATGCATAAACAAATTCTATTATTTTACATACAATTGAAATTATTCAATTATTTTTATCATAATCGAAATATCTCGATTGTTTTCATAATCGAGATATCTCGATTATGCCCATCACTATACATTAGCATTGCAATACAATGTATTATGCAGTAGTCAGTAATGTATTAAGTGATTAATGCAGGGATAGTTGGTAACTAAGAAAAATATACCGACAGCCGGTAATATTTATATTTTTATAGTTCAGAAATTGTTTTATAATTTTTGTTGACTGAGTATACTAGTAATATATAATAATGAATTACACATTTGACGAGAAACTTCTTTATATTGAGTGTTTAGAGAACAATAGAAAATACAACTTCGCTAATCCTTTATTAGGTATGCAGAAGTTATTTTATGTAGGTAGATTAGGTAAAACGGAATGGCACAGATTTATATTATAGGTTCAAATATCATAATGTATTCTATTTTGTAATTTAGAAAATATTATTATGTCTTGCCTATCCTGTGTACAACGATGGAAATGAAGGGAACAGGGAAAAAACGGTAGTTGTCACATTATGAAAATGTTTTCAAATAGTTTTTTTCAATTTATGCCAATAATTTTTTTTTTATGTCAATACATTGTTTAAATAAATACTTTTATTATTAGAGTAGCATTTAATGTGATTTTTTTTTGTTTTAATGTAAGAGGTAGAGGAATTCAGGAACTTTGTTTTTGCTATACTCTAAAACTTTCATAATGTGACAACTACCGTTTTTCCTCTCTGCCCTTCAAATAATTTTTATCACTATCTACCTTTTTCTAGGCCTTCAAAATAGAAAAACACCGGGAGTTTTCCCGGTGCGCCCCATGATAAATTAGCGATTTCAACCAAATGTTGAAATCGTGATAGACAAAAAGGGTAATTGTTGTGAAAATAAAATATACGCCGGGTTTAAGTATCACGGTTGATCTTTATTATTTACACAAAAGGTTGAAGACAAGGTATATTCATAAAAATGTCCGTGTATCCATCTACAATGGAAGTGTCCGGTTGGGCGGCGAGCGCGGCCTGTCGGACGAGTAGAGAAAGCGGGTGCGGGTGTAATTAGTACTCGGCCACCATCGAGTCGCGATGCGACCGCTTCAACGTCATAGCAAGTGCCATGCACAAAGTGCATGGACAGGTGTTCCTTGGCCTATAGCGGTCTCAAGAAGAAGTGACCTGTCAGAAACTTGCGTCAGTTGCGACCGAGGAAGTCTTCTCTCTCGTCTCGTAGGCGATTCCAGAGGGCCGGCAGGAGCAGATCCATCGCCGATGCTTGCCTTCATCTCGAGCCTGAAACTGTCTGACGCCAAACGGTACTGCTGTAAAAGCTAAAAATCTCCGCAGAAGATGATTAAACACAATTAGTTAACGTCATAGCAAATGCCATGCACTAAGTGCATGGGACAGGTGTTCCTTGGCCTTTAGCGGTCTCAAGAAGAAGTGACCTGTCAGAAACTTGCGTCAGTTGCGACCGAGGAAGTCTTCTCTCTCGTCTCGTAGGCGATTCCAGAGGGCCGGCAGGAGCAGATCCATCGCCGATGCTTGCCTTCATCTCGAGCCTGAAACTGTCTGACGCCAAACGGTACTGCTGTAAAAGCTAAAAATCTCCGCAGAAGATGATTAAACACAATTAGTTAACGTCATAGCAAATGCCATGCACTAAGTGCATGGGACAGGTGTTCCTTGGCTTCAGTGGTTCACCCCGAAGGGATCCCCTACGACTGCGGCCCGCCTAGTAGCACTGGGGGGCAGATTCTCGAATGTTTGTCGCTTTCGACGAAGATTTTGTCGCCATATTATACCAAAATCTTGTCAAATTCGATGTACATTCGAGAATCGGCGCCTTAGGTGCTAATTGCGGGCCGCAGAAGGTGTGTCTCAAGAAGAAGTGACCTGTCAGAAGGCCACTTTACGTCGGGCTCGACGCCGCTTTAGTCGCCTTTTACGACAGGCGCGGGAACCTTGGAAGTATTCTTACTCCCCTGTCCACAGGGATAAAATGAGGGCACGAGAAAGTGAGGGCGTTAAGCAGAGGTTGGACCGCTCTTGGAGACCAGGTGTAGCAGCGTTCAGGTTCAGCGGAGTAGCACTGGGTAGCAAATTTGGTCGCCATTTTAAACCGATGGCGAGAAAATTTTGTCGAATTCGATAAATATTCGAGAATCGGCGCCCTGAATAATCTACGGTGGATCACGAGTGGTGTTTGACCGGAGAAAAGTAGGTAGCGCACGCAGAACATACAGGGAGGCGAATCTTGAATAAACGTCACTTTCGGCAAAATTTGGTCACCATTTTAAACCGATGGCGAGAAAATGTTGTCAAATTTGATAAATATTCGAGAATTGGCGCCCTGAATAATCTACGGTGGATCACGAGTGGTGTTTGACCGGAGAAAAGTAGGTAGCGCACGCAGAACATACAGGGAGGCGAATCTTGAATAAACGTCACTTTCGGCAAAATTTGGTCACCATTTTAAACCGATGGCGAGAAAATGTTGTCAAATTTGATAAATATTCGAGAATTGGCGCCCTGAATAATCTACGGTGGATCACGAGTGGTGTTTGACCGGAGAAAAGTAGGTAGCGCACGCAGAACATACAGGGAGGCGAATCTTGAATAAACGTCACTTTCGGCAAAATTTGGTCACCATTTTAAACCGATGGCGAGAAAATGTTGTCAAATTCGATAAATATTCGAGAATTGGCGCCCTGAATAATCTACGGTGGATCACGAGTGGTGTTTGACCGGAGAAAAGTAGGTAGCGCACGCAGAACACACAGGGAGGCGAATCTTGAATAAACGTCACTTTCGGCAAAATTTGGTCACCATTTTAAACCGATGGCGAGAAAATATTGTCAAATTTGATAAATATTCGAGAATTGGCGCCCTGGATAATCTACGGTGGATCACGAGTGCTGTTTGACCGGAGAAAAGTAGGTAGCGCACGCAGAACACACAGGGAGGCGAATCTTGAATAAACGTCACTTTCGGCAAAATTTGGTCACCATTTTAAACCGATGGCGAGAAAATGTTGTCAAATTCGATAAATATTCGAGAATTGGCGCCCTGGATAATCTACGGTGGATCACGAGTGGTGTTTGACCGGAGAAAAGTAGGTAGCGCACGCAGAACACACAGGGAGGCGAATCTTGAATAAACGTCACTTTCGGCAAAATTTGGTCACCATTTTAAACCGATGGCGAGAAAATGTTGTCAAATTCGATAAATATTCGAGAATTGGCGCCCTGAATAATCTACGGTGGATCACGAGTGGTGTTTGACCGGAGAAAAGTAGGTAGCGCACGCAGAACACACAGGGAGGCGAATCTTGAATAAACGTCACTTTCGGCAAAATTTGGTCACCATTTTAAACCGATGGCGAGAAAATATTGTCAAATTCGATAAATATTCGAGAATTGGCGCCCTGAATAATCTACGGTGGATCACGAGTGGTGTTTGACCGGAGAAAAGTAGGTAGCGCACGCAGAACATACAGGGAGGCGAATCTTGAATAAACGTCACTTTCGGCAAAATTTGGTCACCATTTTAAACCGATGGCGAGAAAATGTTGTCAAATTTGATAAATATTCGAGAATTGGCGCCCTGAATAATCTACGGTGGATC